CAGACGCTAGTTCAGCTATGAGAAATGTATCGCTTCTTCCAAAATTACAGTGTAGCAGTAAAACAAGCATTTTTTACCACAATGCATTGTTAAAAAGGGAGGGGGTAGGAATAAATCCAAAGTTACTTTCTAGAACAACTCAGGGTAAATTCTAGATAAAGGTCAACAATGATTTGAATTGCAGCATTTCTTGAAAAACAAAGATTAGTCCAATAAGTCAGGATTCAGAAGAATCAGAGAAGTCCCTTGTAGATCAGTTCACAGACATCCAATTAATAAAAGACTAAAAGACACAGTCCTATCCCCTGGAGCACAGTAAAGATAAATATCTTAATGACTGCAAGGCTCTCCAGTTCTCCACTGAGGGGTCCACTTCAGAAATAAGGCAGCTAGACAGAACTAGTGAGTGCCAAGAGTGCACCATTAACCCCCCATTTCCAAGTAGTCTATTGACTTCTCTAAAGCATCTGTCCTGTAGCAAACCACAATTAGAGAAGTATAAGCCACAAAGGGTTTCATTACTATTTTGTACTTCAAGACAAATAAATGCAAAAAATCTCCAGAGCCTCATCACCAACTGTGTGAAGTAAGTCCCTAAGTTAGTGTACATAACATGGCATTGCAGCTCATCTGGCTCAATTCCTTTCTAGATAAACCCAGAGTCCTGGGTTTCACCAAGTCACCAATTCATTACAAAAGGTACTTTCTGGTTTCCATGAACAAACTGCACAGGGAACAGAGGGTGAACACAGAGTGGCAGATTCAACAGAGGACAGAACAGCCCAGAGATGCACAAGCTCAATTCACTGACTTCCTCTGCCACCCACCCAGGACTCCTATCCCATTTCTGCCCAATGTCACCCTACTCTTCCAAAAACCTGAGCAACCCTCCTGGGAAACAAAGTCTAAATTACAATCCTTCTTTCAACCCCACTCTTCAACTTCGAGCTCCACTGAGCTGAATTCAGCTGGGCTGTGTGCTGCTCTGGAGAACAAGTGTTTCCTTTTTCTTCCAACTCATCTGGAACACCTTGGTCCTGTGGAGGAGAGAGCTGTACAGCACCAGCTCACCACAGAACAAGAGGGGGGAAGAAAGGGCTCCCCAGACAGTGATACAGAGCAAAAGGGAGGACACACATTGAGGAGAGCTGGAGGAGCACTGCAGATCCACTCAGAAGCACAAATCTGGTAAACTAACAGGTCTCAAGGCCTGACTTCATTTAAGCATTTATGCTTCACCAAGTACATTATGCACAGTCTCCTTCTCTCTCCATTACACAACACAGACAGGCACGTTACACTTCTTGCTTAGCATTTACTTGATGCAATTTTAAACAACATCATGGCTCACAGTCTGCAATGAGCTGCTCTGAGTGAAAAAAATTGATCTGGTAACACCCCAAAACTCCCAACCAACGCACAGAGCAGCAAAGTGGTGAGAGGCTGGTGAAAACAAAAGAAATAGCTGCAATTTCATTCCTTCTCAACAACACACTGGCTTCATCAAGTGTGAAGAAAGACCTTCAATCACTTCACCATTGCACAAACACACCTGCAGGAAGATATTAAGTCTCAGACGGGCTGTTCATGTTTAGAGTTTGGAATGTTGCATCTGTATTTAGCTTTCCATCGTATCTGTGTGATGGGAAAATCCTTAATCGAAAGCAAGGTATTTCAGAAGGAATCTCAGCCAGAGGCAGCGGCAATCCTCCCCAATCCTGGGCAACGGCTGCCACCCAGTGCCTGGAAAAGTGACTGCACACACTGAAGGAGAGGAAATTTCAGTCGCTCAGGCAACAGTTCCACCTCTATACCCTCATAAACAATGCACTTTAAGACATTACAAAAAAAGATAATTCCAACAGGGAAATATTTCCTGTACTTCATGTTTATTCAGTGTTTTACCATTTCATGCTGCTACAGAAAGTAATCCCTTCATAATTATCATTTATGCAGAAAAAGTGGGGAGAAACCCACAAGGCTTTCTTTCACAGTGAACCATCATGACAGAAGCTTTCTGAAATATACTGTCAGGATAACTCAAAAGATTTTGTAGTGTAAGTTTACCATTCATAACATCTTCTATTAATCTCCTTAATCTGCATGATGCCAAATACACTTTGGGTTAGGAAACATTGGTGCAAGTTTAATCCCAGATGGAGAGGTGTGAGCCCCTTGGCCTGCAGGGACCAGAATTGTGCTTATATGAGTCTTTTCCACCAGTAACCAGTCAGGCTTTCTGGGCAGCACCAGCATTGCCAACAGTTTGTGTTTCCATCTGTACAGATGTTCATTATGCCACAGCTGGAAGGCAGGCAAGATACCCTGAGAGTTTTTATAAATGAACCACTCACCTCTGCCCCATTTACAATCAGATTACAGAAAATAAATAGAGGTCATGCTCTCCTTTCTTCCACACATCTTCATTTTTGTTTCTCTAACACATTAAATAAAAAACTGAGCATAAAGAAAGCAAAAACATGATGTGAATCCACCCATCATTACTTACTTCTCCCGTGATTGGATTGGTTCCATATTTCTTTATCCAAGGTACAATGCTCCTGAAAAGAAAAGGGACAAAGTAATTAATGACAAGCACCATCAGAAACCTCTACTGATGGCCATAACTGTTTTTGCCAAATTACTAAGACTAAATGATGATTACATAGCTGTAACAGTTCAACAACACTAAAATAAAGCTAAGTACAGACAGGAACTTACAGGATGTCAAAGACTGTCCCATCTGGTGTGCAAACTGGGTATTCAAATGGCTGCAGAGACAAACTAGAAAGAAGAGAACACAACCTTGTTAGCAAAACCAGGTGGAAATCATGATGTGACTGGCAATCACACTCAGCACCCCCTGTTAGGGATGCTTCCACAATCCTGCCAGCTCTTAGCTCATAGGTATGGAGGCAACTTCCTGAACTACCCAAGTTACAAGGATTTCTAACCCACTTCTACCAACTCTCTTCCTTCACTCCTGCACTTCAAGCAGTAAAATCTAAACAGAAAAAAAGAGCAGAAATATTTTTCAATCTACCTTAATCTCTATTTTAGCAAGATGAGTGACTGACCAAGTATATTCTGAGCAGGGACAAGCAGATTTGAGCCCTGAGGACACGGATTTGAAAGACTGGGATGTACACAGTAATTGTTCTGCATTATTTCATCACTTGTGTATCCTTTCAGCCATCAGCTCCAACCTCTGCAGACACTGATCACAGGTCATGCAGACTCTGTTTCAGCTCTTATTCAACTTTTTTCTTGCCACACTACTGCCACAGCAGGCATAAGGCAATGAAAGTAACTGCCTCAGAAGAACACGGCTTTAGTTCAGTGTCAACAGCCTGATAAATACATGTGTCATTAAATAATGATAACGTCAATTTGTTGTCTTACCTGCAGTGATCAAATGATAAACGTCTAAAATTGGTTCGTGGAAGGTCTGTTTATGGAAAAAGAAAACCCACACAACAGATTTTAATAAATACATGGTATTCTAGGTAATCAAGAAACATTTGAAAGTTACATATTGCTACATAACCGGCGACAAGTTACTGATGACAAGGACAAATACACTAAAACTTGCAAAACTGTAACTAACATTTCCGAACTGAAGTTACACTGCCGGAAAAAGATCAAAACAGAGCTCTGACAGTCCGCCAGCGCTGAGTTTAAAGGTGAGAATCGAGGCTCAGCTCTGCCCCAGCAACGGGCACAGCCCCGGCCGAGGGCGGGACGCTCACCTGGCCACAAGCGCGGCATTCCCGAGCAGCGCCGCGGGCTCGGGCCGCGGCCGGGGCTCTGAGGGAGCGGCCCGTCCCCCCTTACCTGCTTTCTTGCCGCCGTAGAATTGCGTGTACTCGGCGCACGTGATGTACCTGCGAGACAGGAGGGTCACTGAGGCACGGCACAGACGCGGCCCCGCACGGCCCGGCCCCCCGCGCTCTCCCCCGCGCCCCCCGCTCACATTTTGTCCTTCTGGTGCTGCCGCTTGCCCATGGCGGCGGCTCGGCCTGCCCGGCCCGCGCTGCGCCTCAGGCCCGCCCGCGCCTTCCGCCGGGTGCGCCGGGGAACGGCCGCGGCGCGGAAACACCGGCGGCGGCAGGCGCGTTCCGGGGCCGCGGGAACGGGCCCGGCAGGCCGGGGATGTTCGGCCTCGAGAAGGTTGGTGAGACCTCAGAGAAGCCTTCCGGGGCTTCCGCTTCACTACAACGTGTTTTCTTGCCTGGAATTTAAAATCTTTGTGTTCCTGGTGTGTTGGGCGGTGACAGAACCTCCCAAGAAAAACTGGGTAGAAAAACATACTTGGTGTCTTAATATGGATACAGCTCTTCACAAAAAAGTATTTCAATGTTTCTCCAAAGACTTAAGGACAAAGAATTTACTGTCCCTTAGGACTGGTATGACCAAGGCTGAACAGAGGATGATCACAGCTCTGACGCCTCACCTTCAGCAGGAGGAAACAGCCAGTTGTCCTGGAGCTTTCGCTTATCAAACCTCCAAATCCATTCATGCTTCTTTTTCTTTCCCTGTTAAACCATCACCCTGGCAGCTGCCCACACAGAGCCACTGGAGAGACATCCTTGGAAGCAGACAGCCAGACTCCCCAGAAGATGGTGTTCAGCTTTGAATCCCAGCAGCTGCTCCTTGGCTGCATCCTGAGCACAAGGTGAGCACAACCTGCTCTGCTTGCAGGGCGTTATACTAAATGATTTCTGAGAGTCCATGATTCTAAATTGTTATGGTTCTCCTCTGAGGAACAGAATACTTGTTCCCAGCAGTGTAGTCTAACTGGCAACAGCATATGAATGATTTACAACATTACAACTGCTTATCACACTGGCCACAGCTACTGCTTGTCCTGGCTGAGGGGGAAGGATATTGTTTATTAGATGTTTAGGGGAGAAACTGCCCTTTTACAAGGGTTTAAATACATTTAATTATTCTGATTCTTTTACTCAAAAACATTTCAAAGCAAGGCATTGAGGCACATCCAAAGAACAGGGCCTGCAAAGAACCAACACGATCACTTGCTCCTGTCCCAGTACACTCTGGAAAAAGAAAACAACTTGATTTGTTTTCAGTGGAATTCCAAAAGCACTCCACAAGGAACACAGCCATAACTGCAGAAAGCTCCCTCCTTGCTGCAGTGCAGGCACTGTGCTCAGTGCTGAGGGAGCCTGCTGGCTCTGCCTGAGAGGATGGATGAGCATTCCCACAGCTCCTGCTCCCTCAGCCGAGACGGGCTCCGGGGGAAAACACTGGAGCTGTCCAGACACCACCAGCACTTGTCTGATCGTGCTTTCTGAGAAAAGATCATCCAGACAAAATTATTTATTTCCAGACACATTACCATGATTCAGCCTGTGTTGACATTTCTGGAGATGCCTGTGCTCTTTGCAATAATTCAAGACCATGTTTTTGCTTTTTGTTTTGTTTTTTTTTAAACCAATGCAATGTTCTTTTATTTTGTACTTACAAAAAGAGCCACCCCATTGTATCCCTCCCCCTCCCCCCAAATGCCTTTTACAAACATTGAAAAATTAAAAACCTGATGATGACACGTTAATTTGGTAGAATTACTTTGAAACATAGCCTTTGTAATTAAACTCCTACAAGATGACTTTGTAGTGATAGCCTGATTATTGGCCAAATAAAATTCCATATTACAAGTTAGCAAATTCTAGTACAAAAATAGTCCATGTGTTAGAACAGCCTCTTATTATTATTATATTCACAGGAAAGAGTCTATTGGCTGCATAATACCTTAATATTTATGAAATTTCTTTTTACGTGGCTCATTCATCTAATTTAATATAGTGTTGAGCCTCAATAAATCCTCAGGCAAAAAACCCCAAACAGGGTTAAATATGCTGTTCAGTGTACTCTGAAGTACTGTGCTTTTCACAGGACATCCAAGAAACCGCACAAACAGTTCTCAGCTAGTTTTAATATTAAATGAGATCCAGATCCAAAAGGATCCCCCTGAAGTACATATCCATGACTTTCCATAGAAACAGAGGTCACAGCTTCAATGGTCAAGTTTCACTGGGGAAACTGTCGAGCTCCTCCACTCATCATTTCCAGGAATCCGCTGGGACCTCTGCGGCTCAGCCCCTCTTCAGGAGTGTCCCCGCTGGCCGGGCTCTCGCTCCTCTCCTGTCTCTGGGAATGCTGTTCAGCAGTTTCACTCGGTCCAGGCCCCGCAGGGAAAATCTGGGGACGTGCTACTTGTCTCTCAAGATGTCCAGCTGCTCTTGATACTCTGTGAAAAGCCTCTGGAAGCGGAGGTTCTGTCCAATAACAGGAAGAAGCTCTTTCAATAGTTCTCTCTTTCGTAAACCCTGCACAGAAAACACAAAAGCATCCTCAGAATCTTTTATTTGTTATCATTAACAGGTTCCATGGAGCTCTCTAAGATTCATGCCCCTTTTCCTGCCTAGAGAGATCTCTGCATTTTATGTTCTCACTCTGCTTCCATGACTCCCAGAATAAAAACTGTCTTTACACTTACACACTCAGGAAGCTGGAGCAGCCTCTGCATTCCAGACTCCAGGCTGTGTTCTGAGAGGGAAGATGTCTTTGGCATGTGCCTATTTCAAAGCTGCTGTCTCAACAATGTGGAGAGCTGATCATGCAACTCTCCTTCATCTGTGTGATACTCCAGACAGCACCAGAGCTGACACTGGGGCAACAAGCATTTGCCTGTGGTTTCACATGGAATAAATCTCAGTGCCATGGGACAAAGCCTGCTTATGTGATCAGAGCAGAGTATGGAAAGGATAATACTCTGTAATTTTTATGGGAAACTCTTCATTGTTCTTTATTAAACTATTATCAGGACTTACCATAACTGTTGATTCCCACTGACTTCCAGCTGAGTAATGGACTGGACCCAGTAAATCCTTGCATAATTCTCGCAAACGATATTCAAACCCTGGAGACAGTCAGAAATAAAATCACATTTGACAGCATTTCACTACATACAACCACTCCACAATGTAGCAGACAACATTCAGGAAAGAATTACAAGTATCTGGAATAAAATAGAGCCCAATACATTGATTTCTGGGAAGTTATATTATTATTCTTACAGCAATTCTTTGGAAATATAAGATGATTTTTAGAGCTCTGAAGGGTCTTATTTAAGGTTCTCAAAATCAAACCCACTGCTAAAGATGATCTACAACAGGGAGAAAAACTGAAGTCTTAAGTAATTACTCCAGCTTGTTTTAAGAGCTGCCCTGATCTCAACCTCACTCTCTTCTCCCACACAAACATACCAGCTTTTTAAAAACCAAAACATCTTTAATAAAACCACACACAGTTTCTGGGCCACCTTTATTTACCCAAAAATCAGAGGGGGGAATTCCCTTGCAGGAAACAACGTTTATTCAAGAGTAACTTGCCAATCAACATACACTAGATCAAGTATTTTAATGGATTAGAATTCAGTAGATGTTGAAATAATCATAAGAATAAAGGGTCAATAATAAGATGTGCAATGTTCAAAGTTCATCAGCTCTAGAAAATTAGTGAAGTAGCAATACACATCTGGCAAAGCACATTTTTTGTGACATCCATCCATCCATGGCAGCAACATTTGGAGGTGCCAGAGGAACCCAGTGCATGCAGCAGAGGTTCTCAGTTAGTGAAGGCTTTTAAAAGTACAACCATCTCTTTAACATATGACCCAAGAAGAATATTTCAATTTCAACTGGGGAAGGACAGAGAGAACCACATGCAGTTCAACAAGCTCTCTTGTTAAATAAGGTAAGGGCCAAAAGGCAAGAATTAATGAGTTGGATTTTAATTCTGCCAACACCTATTAGGTGGCATAACATGAACCATTTCATTTCCCTCTGTGCAGAATGATTATGCAAGGTGAGGAGTAAGGCTGAATTAATACAAGGGGAACTACTAAATTATGAATGTAGACAGGCAGAGATACAACAGAGATCTTTAGAATCCAAAAAGTGTAAAGTCAGTCAGTTAACCTTATTTAACATAATAGCATAAAGTGTATTCAAATATAAAATAGACACAAGGAAACTTTCTTGTGTGTTTCTTTTCTCAGAGAATTTAACACATGGAATTCACCAGTACAAGCAGTACTGGTGGCACCACTAAAAATTTTAGAATGTAAAAAAAAGAATGAAGTGCAAGCAGTACAAGCAAATTCTCTGCAATTTTATGTGCTTGGGTACAAAGTGTCAGAGACTGAGCAACCCCTCGATCTCACATCAGGCATCAGTTGTCAGCTGGCTGAGGAGGGTTATACATTTTACAATCCTCCTGGTTTCCCTGAAACATCTGTAGCTGCTGCCAGACAATAGCTAGGATGTGCCTGACAGACCACTGGGCTGTTTTACAATGCAATTGCCATTACTGGAGTCTGCAGATGGCACTGCTTCCCCAGACCACAGTCTGTCCCCAGTCACTGTGTCCAAACAGGACTCCTGAGGACTGAGCACTGCAGAAGAAAATGCAATTTGTTTTAAAGCAAACCCGAGTCCAGAAGCCAAGTGCTAAAAGGAGGATGTTAAGGGCAATCATACATATACATGACATGAACAGTGTTTCTTAGAAGCCCATCAGAGCTGCAGAGAAGCACCAGAGCCTGGCAGGTCTCACCTTCATTAACTAGGTACCGTGCATAGATAAGGAGCCAGTGGTGATACTCGTGACTGGATTGTAACATAAGTGCTGCTGCTATCTGGTTCTCCAGGTATGCAAGTGTTGTTTCCTGTTGCACTAAATGAGGCATGGAGAACAATCTTGCAGCTTGCCTTCCTGAACTGCAAAACCAAAAAGATTAATGTGCCATAAATTCAGATACAAGTTTAAGGAATCTATCTTTTTGTAGCACTAGCTATACTGCACTGATCTTTCAGAGGCACACAAGACATAAAGCATTTAAAGGATTTCTTGCATACAAACACATTGTCATTAGAAAGCTAATTTGAAAAAAGTAACTAGTTATTAGATTTTTTTCAAAAAGGGAATTTTTCATTCTGTTATTTTCTCTCTCTCAAAAAGAGTATTGATTGTTTATGCTTCAAATGCTTTTCACAATGAACTCCCCTTCCCCTCACGAGAACAGCAATAAAAGCATACAACACTACACAGTTTCTCTCTGGAAAAAAATTAAACTTGGATGTGAAGACCAGAAATAGCAAAGAAATCTGCCTGGGAAATGTAATTCAAATCCAAGGGAGGATGGGCTATAAAGCTACCTACAGGAATCTGCTCTGGCTCACACAATTCCTTGGTGATATTTTCACATGTTAAAAATACTCACTAGATGACTAATATCTCAACTTTCTCAAAGACTTCATTAAATAGATTCCTTGAGGCCAACTGAACTACTCAAAAATTGTAGGCCTACTCCAGAAAGCTGGAAAACTAAAAATGAAAATGCAAAATGTAAAAAAGTGCAGTTTAGCTAATAAAAGTGTAACAGAATTGTCCAATACCTTACCCATCCAATAAAGATGGGTAAGAGGAGCCTTAAAATGATTATATTTAGAGCGTGCTTTCCTGCCCCCCAAACAATCTCATAACATTAAGATACAGACTATAAACATGCAAAGAATTAAAAAACCACTGTGTGAGTGACTGATCCTTTCAGAGCCACTGGCATTTCAAGAAGTAACTCAGTGATGCAGGCAGGTGAATAAAGGCCACGACCAAACCCAGCCACGCTGGCGGCACGAAGGCGGCGCGCGCGTACTTTGATGTGCGTCCCTGTATCACAGCCAAGGGCCCAGAACACAGCATGGCTTCTTGAGATGGCAAACTAGTCCTGAAGTCTGCACATTGTGCTAGAGAGTCCTGTTTGTCAGAAACAAGATTCCTGGAAAAGAGCAAACAACCAAAAAACAAGTCTGAGGAGTGCAAACAGCAAGGTGAGCAGACCCAGCTTTGTTCTGCCTCAAAACTGGATTTGTGTTTTCACAGATAACCAAAAAAAATCACTGAAGTGGCTCAGGAATTCCAGGGACCCTGATTATTCCCACTACACGTCCAAATTCTGCTTGTGGTGTGTTCCTCCTACCCCTAAAGTTAAAAATATGAATTACATAATATAATTTACCATTCATTGGGAAGGAAATTAACTTTCTCCTTGCCACTTTCTCCTTGCCAATCTAATAAGAAGCCATGACCCAGAATGATGCGTGGAGTGAACACAGGTAATGACTTTCTCATTAACAACTTGATTTTACCTTATGTCAGGTCTCCCCCCCTACCAGACACACACACATTGACAATCTTTTCCATAATTACACTATCCCTTCATATGGAGGGAGCTGACATTACAGTTGCTATTTCCACACATAATTAAGGATATCATCTTCACTGGCTTGAGATGGCAGGAGAAAGAGTGGCTCAAACCAATGCTAAGTTTAGATTTCCTACAACACAAAGGTAAAATGGTACAAATATTTAAAACACCCTTTGCTGCTTTATCATGTTTAAATTTGTATGATGACTAAACACATTGCTCTTTTATATACTTCCCAAGCTGTGGTACAAACTCAGAAATAGCAGCAAATTCAGAATTATGGCTGAAAGTCTGTCCCCTGCTCCTTACTCCCTTAATAAACAAATAGAGTATTTTTCCTTTTCCAGAGGATTTGCTTTGAGTAGTTGAATAACAACAATTATTCTAAGGAGGTGTTAAGACAATAAGCCCTTTCATCCAGCAGGCTCATTACACTAATTACAACAATAATATTAGGATTACAACATGTTTTTTTTCTTCTTAGGAAGACAACAAAGAACCTGTTTTGGAAAGATCCTGTAAATAATTTACCATGGAAATTTTTCACAGGAACTTATGCCTTTCCATGGGGAAAGCCCATCTGATCCCCAACAAGACACAGACTCTTGTGTGGCCTTTTCTGGTGTTTAGTAATGACTCTTCCATGACTCTGAGGTAGAATGATTTCTTCCCAGTAAATCAGAATATGTCAGTTCCTCTGAGTTGCAAAAGCAGGAAATAATCCATGGCTTACCATGTAGAAAGAGAAGGATTAAAGCAGTATGCCTTCCCATCAGACATGCTCATGACAGGAATTCCATGCTGAGTCAGCAAGATCTGAGAGACAGTTGCATCACTTCCTGCAAGTCAGATCAGACCAAAGTGTTTCTTTTGGAGCATTGCCTAAGACTCATAATGGTAAAAAATGGTATCTACCACTTCTTATCAATTACAGCAACTAACAGAAAAAGGTTCAATGCTGTTCTCAAGCACTGACAGGAAGGTCGAGACACGAGGTAATGACGGCAAGCACCAGGCTCAGTGCAGTAGCATTAACATCCATTTTGCAAAATACATTATCAATCTTCATGCTGCAATTTATAGAGGATATGGCCTTAATCAGGAACATTCTCCTTACCTAGGGAAAATCTTCAGCAATTCTGCCATGTCTTTTATAACCCAAGAAGCCTTTAGCTTTCTTTTTCCCATTAAGTGAAAATTATAAACCCCAGCATATTTAGAAAAGTGTGCTCTCTAAGAGCACAGTGTAAGTGGGATAGCTGGAGTCTCATTTGCCAGCATATTCCAAGCCCAGGGCTTGTGCATGCAACTTCTAATGATGACATTTGCAAACTGGTAATACAACTGCTTTCTAGCTAGTTTGGATTAGTACTGTATGGATTAAAGCTAAACCAGAAGCTAATGTACTCTGAGACACTGCTTTTCTGATGATTTTTGTTGTGCCAGATACTGCAGTGATTGAAACTGAAGATTTTTAAGTAATGAATCAGAAGACAATCAGTTGTTGTTCAGCACTGAGACAATAAACATGCAAATTACACAGAGAAATTGCTGTAATAGCAGATTTACATTATGTATTTATTTTGTGATCTTCACAACACTGAATTTCTACATTCAGAAGCAAGGCAGACTATAAGCTACAGAATCTCACACAAGTTTGCTACTCACTGATATTGCCATCACTGTTATTTCAAGAACTTCCCTTTACTACACAGTAATGAAGGGAAATTATTTGTTTAGGCTTTTCAGGTTTCATAAAATTTCAGCATATTCATAAATGGCAGTGGTACCATAGTACAGGTGGGCTCGAAGGCTGGTAATTAAAGGACTTTTTTATTACCTGAAAATATTGTTTGCAAAGACTCGTCTCTAACAATGGCTGTCTGCTTGTGAACATCCCTGAAAAAGACAAAAGAATAAGTCTGCAGTCAACAAACAACTGAAAACTCCAAAATTTTTTAATAAATGCACTTTTTCACTATTCATGACAAAGTGGGGGGTTGGGAGTTTGTTTAGGTAGTTTTTTTTTGTTTTGACATTTTCTTTATTGCTTTGACAAAATTATTTTGGCAAACTTAAACCCCTTATGGCAAGACAGAAGTTAATAGCAGAGAACAATTTTTATGGCTCTTTATCAGGAAACCTCATTACAACAAAACAAACAGGATCTAAATAACTCCTTTAGGAGCTCTGACTTGCCTGAGACATTGGATTGAATTCAACAACTGCAAACGAGTTACCAGTGTTTTTATCTTGGCATCTTGAAAATGGCTGGAGTACTTTAACTCTGAAACTCTTGTGCTTCATTGGTAAAGTGTGATGGAAGATGGAAGTAGCCATACTTTTCTTCCCAACCCCCCAGTCCATTTCACATGCATGACAAGCATTTAAACCAGTGACCTCCAGCTGATTCTTCATCCTCATTCTAGAATGAAGTTCAATATTCTGGACTGTCAGCACAGAAACAAGATTTTGCTGAAACAGAACCAGTCCTGCCCAGTTAACTCTGCATATCCTACTCAAAAGTGGACTTGTGTTCAGACCTGATGTGGTTTAAGCTGCTGCCTCAGCAGCAGTGCAGGGACACAGCAGAAGGTACCTAAGAACACGGCCTGAGCCAGGTGGCCCTTACCAAACAGAGAGCGTAGCAGCAGTGGTGAGAGCCATGATGCAGGAACCTGTGCAGTGCAGGGTGGAAATGGGTGTATTCAATATGATGGGAGGAAGAAGGCGACGACCACAAGCTGAAAATACTGACAGTGTTCGTTTCTCACAGGCCACAGTTACAATCTCACTGGAACAAAAAAACCCAACAAATAAACAAGAAACATTTGGAGTGGTGAGAGCCATGATGCAGGAACCTGTGCAGTGCAGGGTGGAAATGGGTGTATTCAATATGATGGGAGGAAGAAGGCGACGACCACAAGCTGAAAATACTGACAGTGTTCGTTTCTCACAGGCCACAGTTACAATCTCACTGGAAAAAAAAAAAACAACAAATAAACAAGAAACATTTGCTTGTTGTCAATGCAAGTAGCATAAAACCAGGCTGAATTCTTAAGCTATCATACAACTTTTTAGGGTAAATTCCCTAAAAAATAACTATTGCAGCTTTAAGAGAAAATTTTTCATACCAAGAGGAGAAGTCATAAACTAAACAGATCAAAGGACATAGCTGGAAATATCAGTAAAGCTTTTGGTTATACATAAGCTCTCCCTCAAGGCTGTACTTGTATTTAGCTTTAAAATCTGCTGCTTCTTTTTCAGGCTCAGAAATACACTTTCAGTTGAAACTCTGAAGTTGGAACTAGGCAAAATTGAGAAAAAATAAGAGAAAAAATAGCAAAAGACTCAGGAAAATACTTTGACATGACCAAACATGCCATTTCAGATTTTTCTTTAGTAGTTAGCCCTTGAAAACCTGTCACTTACAATTTACTCAACTTTAATGAAGAAATTTAAAGGAGAAATGTAAAAATACAGGAAAATACTTGTAACTGGCTAATGTGAATTGTGATATTTTAAGACTGCATAGAGTTAATTCTTGAAGGAAAACTATAGAGACTAAGAGCAGTGCACACTTTTACCCATGAATATTTATTATGAAAAATAACTGTAAAGTGTACTTTTGTACACCTAAAATGACTTCTGGACTTCAGGACCCCCTTCCTCCAAAAGATACTCTCTTACCAGCTTCCTGCTGCAGCGAGGATTCGACTGGTCAGGACTGTCTCCCATTCCTTCCCTTCTCGATTACACTTTAATCTGCTCAGCTTTGAGCCCCCCACTGTGGTCATTTCATTCTCCACTTCAAGGTACATTGACGGATCTGAACTTATCTGAAATACAAAAAATAAAACAATTTTTGGAAGAGGAAAAAAACTACTCAAAAAAGCAGCAACTACTATTAGAACCAAAACAATGCTGACTTTAAGAACACATTTAAGTATGGCATTCTCTCTTTAATGTGGGTTCAAAATATACCATGGAACTTCAAAAGAAGCAGACCTCTGAAAATCAGCCTTGCCTAAAACACAAGTAATTTCTTTGCATTTGAAGCACAAACATAAGGAAAGGCTGTGCTAGTCTGTCTCTGCTTCCTAATTATGGGCACCAGATCAAGTCTCTATGTGCCCAGTCTCCCCACAGTCTTGCAATTGGAACCAGACTACCACAGCCTGAACACACCTAAAAACTGTTTCATAAATACTTCAACATTACTGTTGAGATGCAGAGCACCTCCAGAGAGCTCTCAGAATAGCCCTGGTTTTATTCCTCGGTGGTGCACTCCCAACAGCACCGCAGTAACACGGCAGCAGCCACTCCCCCAGAGACTCTTATCTCCACCACACACTTTGGCTAACCAGGGGTGGGACTGATGAACCAGAGGTTCTCAGTCCCCTTTGGAGTTTAGCTGGGTCAGAAGTGACCCATTTTCAGCTCATTTGCCATTTTCTGTACTCATGCAGACATATTCTTAGAAGCTAAAGCGTTACCATCTTGCTTGCTGGAACAAATACATGCACTCAAACATTAACTCAAAGGATGTGAATAACCTTAGGATATTTAAAAGAAAGCAGGATTTTTTTGTTTGTTTTTAAAGTATTAGGTTTTTTCCTTATAGTCCACTTACTTGCAAAGTAAACGATTTCTGTGGGATTGGGGTTGGCAGTTTAAGTGCTAATGCTGGTGCAGAGATGCAAGCAGCATCCTTCTCAGAGGCCAGTGTAGCTGGGGACTGGAAAAAAATTGCAGAAATAGTTACATTTTTCTATTAAAAAAAGTGAAAACCAAATATATTCTACCAAATAGATTAATTTGAAAAAGCATTTTCTTAAAATTCCAAATAATGCCAATTACAAATGTTAGTCTTGTCCCAATTAGTTGTATGAATACAAGTTTTTTAATATAGCTTCTAAGAACAAAGAAAAACAAAAAACTTGAAGTGGTCTTTTTTTTTTTTTTTAAACGCTCCTATTTTCAGCTGCAACTAATTCATGAAAATTCTGGTGTACTACATGGGAAATCTAAGCTCTAGATACTGAAAACACAGATATCTATATGCCTGAAAACGATGGAAACTCTAATGCAACTACTTTAGCATTCTGAGGAAATTTATAACCATTTAAATCACCATAATTAAGCCACTTTCTTCTTCTTGGACCACTCTCCATCATACACCACCAAAAACTGTTGGCATTTCATTTTATTCTAAACAGTCTTTGGCAGACTAGCATTACTTAGCGAGCTGGGACCTTTAGTAAGTAGCTACATATCTATATAAAAGATAAGCACATTTGCCACACCATGTGCACCTGCTTTTTCTAAGCTTAAATTCTAAAACCAATAAATTCAAAGGCATGGAGGAGGGATGGCTAAAAATTCTGAGGGATTGATACAATTTGTGTTTTTTGAGTCAATGGAACAAGTCAACATGGGACTGACTTTATTAACTGAACTTTGAAAGCCACAATGAATGTTAAATATTTCACCTGAACAGTTAAAGTTACTGGTACAAGCCTGGAGTCTTTCCGAGGCCTTCCTTTTTTCTTCTTTTCTACTGTTTCTCCCTCAAGTTCCAGTTTCCGTTTGGGTACACTGAGTGGTTTAACAGCTGGAATCTTCTCCTCACTATCACTGCTGCTCTCCAGAATATCCTTGGGCTTATTGTCTTTAATTAAATTCTGATCCTTCAGTCTGTAAAACAAAAGTCTGTAAAAAAAAAGCTGATTCCAAAAGTTGTCATATGTCCTACATATTGCCTTCTTGCAGGTAAGATGACATCTCTTAGCCCTCTTTGAGTGCATTTCAAAGCACACAAAGGCAGGAGGAGGAAGCTGGAGAGGTATGGCAAACCCTTTCCAAAAGTACAATGTGCAATATAGATGTAAAGCAATCAGACATATTCTCCCCTTTAAAAAAATTAATCAAGCCAGCAGTTAGCCATGGGATAAAGTGGAAATAGCAACTTAACTTTAGCATTCAGTTCCAATTACCATCAGATGTCTTTCCCTGAGCTGATACAAATAATTCAGCACTCTAAGATGCAAGAGCAGTTCATCTTTTCCCCTTCAGTGGACATTAGACTTTCTGCTTATTCATGCAGAACTTCTGTCATTTTGTTGTCTACCCCCAGAAGCTGTTCTGTTCAGTTCTGACTACTGCAAAATGTGTGTCTGCAAACCACACACATGACTTCACTGCTCCAGCTGCCATTCCAGGAAACATAACTATGGAATCACAGAATGGCTGGAGTGGGAAGAGACCTTAAAGACCATCTGATTCCAACAACGTGCCATGGGCAGGGACACATTCCACCATAAGGCCAGGCTGTTCCAAGCCCCATCCCACCTGGCCTTGAACACTTCCAGGGATGAGACATCAACAGTTTCTCTGGGCAACCTGTTGCAGTGTCTACTGCAGAAGTTGTTCTGTTCAGTTCTGACTACTGCAAAATGTGTGTCTGCAAACCACACACATGACTTCACTGCTCCAGCTGCCATTCCAGGAAACATAACTATGGAATCACAGAATGGCTGGAGTGGGAAGAGACCTTAAAGACCATCTGATTCCAACAACGTGCCATGGGCAGGGACACATTCCACCATAAGGCCAGGCTGTTCCAAGCCCCATCCCACCTGGCCTTGAACACTTCCAGGGATGAGACATCAACAGTTTCTCTGGGCAGCCTGTTGCAGTGTCTACCACCCTCACACTAAGAGATTTTTTACTAATATCTCATCTAAACCTGCCCTCTTTCAGTCTGAAGCCATTCTCCCTTGTCCTGTCACTATGTGCCCCTGTGAAAAGTCCCTGTCCAGTTGTTTTGCAGCCCCTTTAGGCACTGCAATAAGGTCACCCTGGAGCCTTCTCTTCCCCAGGTTGTGCAGCCCCAGCTCTCTCAGCCTGTCTTCACAGCAGAGGTGCTCCAGCCCTCTCACTACCTTTGTGGCCTTCTCTGGACTTGCTCCAACAGGTCCATGTCCCTGTATAACTGAATATAATATAACCAATACAAAGTACAATCCCTGTGAACTCTCTTGTTAACCATTATACCCTAAAATAGGTCATTTAATCATACTCTTCCCTTTCTCTCCAACAGCTGGTTATTAACTCACACTGTTTTGCCACTTATTCCTTAACTACTTGGCTTCAGAGAAATACCTTGCATAATCCAAACCTTTTTTCTCTGGCATCTGAATTATGCCAAACAATATACTTTTATCCATATTTCAATGACACATTAAAAGCATTTATGAAAGTAATGTAATATATCTTGCTTTTGCATCACATGGTTAAGCTCTTTGACATAAAAATATGGATGTATAAAAACATGTTTTACTGATAGTTACTGGAGAACTATATACTTTTTTCTCTAGACTGGTATTTTTTTATTATTTGTTTTAGTGAAACAGGAATATTATGCCATAACACTATGTCACAAGACAAAATGCTTTCTTTTTTTTTTTTTTAATCACGTGGATCCTGAGCCAAAACCCTTTAAAGTCAGAGAATCTTCTCTGCATGCCTTCAAGGCATAAAGCTGAAATGTAACTGCAGCTACGATGCTGAGAGGTCATCTGCTGACATGTATGGTAATTTACCTTGAAGTAAATCTCTCTTGTACAGAGATGCAGGCTGGCTATTTTTGGCTGGTTTTGTCTTCTAAGGAGTCCAGCTGCACTCAGTGACACAGGCATGTGCACACACAGCCTCTTACAGCAACAGTTTTAACTTGGAATATCTTGGACAATCTGTGTGATACCAAAATGCCAGGGACAAATGTACAAAGGGTAACAGCAGCACAGAATTCACCTATTTGTAGCTGCCCCCTTCCTTCCAACAGCGGAAGAAACCCAAGACAACTTCTAGAGTGTCAGCAGTGTGACATCTACACCACACAGCATTCGTGCTTCAACTCTACATTATTACCTTCCTCCCTCCCCAGGCTAAGTCTTACCTGTCCACAACAGTCTGATTTGTGTTTGTTACAACAGCAGTCCCTGAGGTGGCTTTGGATCGTTCCGTGAATCGAGAATCAAACGCTTTCATAGGCTCAATCTTGGATGGAGTTGTCAACACAGAGGAAGATGATGCAGAAGGAGCAGCTGAGGCAGAGGTAGCATTTACACTGTCAAGAAAAGAGATGGCAGAATAAGGACTGAAAATTTTAGTAAGCTGCATTGCTCATAACAACTAGCATTCATGATAGCGGCTAGAAAACCTTTCACTCAAACATACAATCAATTATAATATTCTTTTTCCACTCTTTCAGGCATCAGTGTTTTACAAGCTTTGCTTATTCTCAAAAGCTGTCTATGGTACACCTCAGAGCTTCATGTGGCCATATATCTGGATTAAAAGACCCTAATTCATTTACTGTGTATTTTAAATTCACAAAGTAAATGATACTTTCAGCTGGTACTTACTGGGAAAGGATCACTTCTTAAAATGATCATAGGGGTTCCTGCTTTTACCCCTTGTTCAGGTTACCAAATATGCCCATTACAATATTATATTTCACTGTTTATCAACCAAACAATTTGGGATGTAACAATTCATGCCAGGTTTAGATTTTGTTGTTGAAAAATCCAACCTGATTATTAGGCCTTCCCAAGCACAACTCTAGGGCAAAGGAATGTGTTTACCCCACACTAAAGCATTCCAGGGATCTATTATTTCAATAGCTGTTTACTTTAGGGATTTTTCAATTCATTCAGATAATGAATGGCTCCAAAATAACTGATGCTGGTATTAAAAAGCTGCTAGAAATACAATTTACAAAGAAAAGGATACTTAATAGTTTCATCTGTCAATCATTTCTCACAGTCCACCCGCTCATTTTTTAATCTGTGGCCAATTTCAACCAAATTTGATGGAGAAGTAGAGGTTTCAATGACACTATGCTGCTACAAATGCTATAAAAACACATTGAGAAGAAGTCAGGTCAGTGCTGCAACTGACTGAGGGAAAAAACAAGTAAAGTTCAGTTGTTCTGTAATTAATTTGAAAGACACACTGACCAATCAGCACATGTGCCCTGACAAGCCAATGTCACTGTGCTCTGATGGGGTTGTTACAGGAAAGAAGGACCACCACGTCTGAAGAGAGGACACAGGTCAGAAATGACACAGGTCATTTGATGTAAAGTAGGTGTCATTACTTACACTACTGGAACACTTTCTATTGTTTACTAATAGCAACCCACCAACTCATAAGTAAATCTTTTTGCTAAAGCATTAGCAATCAGCTGTGCACTTCATTGCACTGATGTTCACTGCCAGAACTACGCACATGGATTTATTAATTCCCAGTTTATCAATATTTAAAGTAACCAAACACTAATAAAATCTCCATGTTTTCAGGAAGATTAGATTCTTGGGGTTTTGCAGCAAGGAAACCACTTTAATAATTTCTTCATTATAAAACTATGAACAAGAATCAAAAACTAAACAGACTCATGTGAGTGAAAAACCAAATACTGACCCATCTTTATTGGCTGCATCATCTGTTGGTTTTATACTGGCTGCTGTTGGCTCTACAGAAGGCTTTGAAGTATTAAGGGAATTTGCTGCGTTAGAATCTAGTGACATGAGCTGCTGGTTACTTTGAGAAGACATCATTGAGCCAGACAGAGTTCCAGATATTGGGATGCTATTGAAAAATGCTGTAGAAAAATCCCTAAACAAAAAGACAAACAACAAATACATTTCTCAAAACAGTTTAAAGACAATTCAAAACTAGTAATTTTAGCTAAAATATTTATTCCATTCTTCCTTTTCCACATGTGGATACTCATATGCAACCTAAATAAATCCCCAATACCTTTTCAGAGTAATTTCTCATGTCCAAACCATATTAAAGCTGGTACTAATATAGATATAAATCAACAATACATTAGAGCATTGTTAAGCTTTAACAGTAAATAATGAGAATTAGCCTGATCTATTAGAAGTGAGATCTTATGGCCAAAGAACACTGGTTGAAACTGTATTTCATAAGAACACACAGTTATTTCCAGTAAGTGCTTTATGATGCCCTAAGATGGAATGCCAAGCCTGGAACAGGGAATAAAACAAACAAAAAGATAAGAAGGTAAAGAAGGATTTTACAGATTACTTCCAAACATACCCAGTGTCCAGCTGAGCTATGCAGAGAGGTGTGATCCTTCTCCGACCATCTGCTGTTCGTGTTTCCACTTGTTTTTTTAAGAGGTTCTGTTGGGAAATACATTTTCTCATAATTTCTGATAAATGGGAAATGTTATTTTAATTTTTTTTCAAACTGACAAAAATAGATGTATTAGAAGAGGTGCCTCAATTAAAAATCTGTTAGTAAAGACTTTTTCCCATAAACAATTTTCCAATTTTCAACCTATCCATCTGTAGAAAGGGCATTTGTGGAGAATGTAATCTGCTCTCCACTTTAGAATCAAGTCTAAAACATTGTGCATATCAAATCTTTAATTAAAGTTGTGTTCTATGTTTAGGACAGAATTAAACAATGCTTTCAACTATTGTAATTGAGAAACTGAAACACAGCTCTACAGCTTTGTCATTAGTTACTCTTGGTTTCCTTCCTGCACACCAAGAATTCTGCACCCATCACAGAAACATCCACAAGCCTGCTTCCACATAGCCTTACTTCTGCTTAAAAGCATTTCAGTTTTCAACAAGTCCCAGTAAATGACCCACTAAGTTCATCAGCTGGGCCATACACAGGCTGAAAGATGCCATTCAACACAAATAAGGGCACAGAAACTGGTTCTTTCCTGAGAGTTTGGTATTTAGTGACTCAGTATTTGACAGTGCCCAAGAGCACCTACCTTTCTGATGTCCTCCAGACTCTCCCCATTAACCATGCTTGCCACTTTGGGAGCTGTGGCATTCCCAGAGCCTTCCCGAAGTGAGGCATTCTTCTGATCCCCCTGCTGCTGCTGTCTCTGCTGGTACTTGAGCATCTCTGGATTCTCAATAATGGTGGTGGACAACTGAGCTTCAGTCATGATAGCCAGGCTTTTGCCATAGGTGGACTGGTGAATGTTGCTCTGGGGGCATTAAAGATGTGAGTGACCATGACATCACTGATTATAATACAAGGAGATCACACAGATCTAATGGAATCCATAAAATGCCCCCTGTAGCATTGATATATCAGATTTTTTACTTTGTGTTTTCAACTAACACTAAATCAATATGTAAAATAAATGAAATTCAAAGCTCTAGTTGCTAATAGCAATGAGAGGAAAAACAGCCAAGAGCAATCAGTTTAAAAATACTTGCATATATGCAAGTGAAAGAGTAATTTTATAGTGCATTGAAGCACTCACATCTTGTTTCCTTGGCCAAATAATTAGTTCAGATCTATAACGATGTGTAAGCAAGTGGATGTTTTCCAAATTCTTTCTTTCTTTCCAGAACAGAAACTAATACCACACATTCACTTCTTGACTACTCTTTTTTAATGATTTGTAAAGCAGACAAGAGCAACATATTTTCTAGAATATGGAAATGAGTTACTACATACTTCTATAAACATGCCAGTATTTTGATTGAATCAATACATCCCTGAAATATGATCAAAGGTTCTCTGAGTGCTTACTGTACCTTTTCCTCCTCGCTGAGTGGATCCCCAAGTTCATCCTGGGAAAAGTCCAAAAATGCCACTGATCCATCCATGGAACACACCAGGATACCAAGTCCATTAAGAGTCCTAAGGGAAATAAAGGTCCAACTTTGTTTTTAATCTCTTTCATTCAAGGAAAGATGATGGACTGTTCAATAAACTCTGATGGATTGTTCAATAAAAATCTCAGCTTAAGACTTATTATCACAGCAATAACTCACGGAACCAAAGAAGTGGGACAGTGAGGAGACAGGATGACAGGCAGCAGAGTCCCTGTGCCAGTGCTCCTTTGCAGACTGCACAAGGATGGTGGCACTGGGACAACAACCTGCCCATGGCATGAAAACTGTCCTGAAGGCGTAAACCTCAATAGTGTTCACAATGAACAGTGAGAGAAAATGATAAATGCATTTCTTTCAATAGATGAGAAGTTTTTGTGCTAATGGAAGTTTGTGCTAATGGAATGGACCCTCAGCTGACAAGCAGGCCAAAAATCTTGGTACTAGGCAAGAACACATTCATTGTTTTGTTTGAAGAACAGGCTTCATTTTGTTACTGTTCAATTATTTGAGTTTTAAGCAAACTGCACATGTGTTTATTTGTGGGGATACATAGTAGCCCTCTTCTGGAAGTCAGGTTTTCTTAGCAAAGAGAGGAGAAACTATCTTAATAGAATGATAATCTTGCATATTTAACCTATTATTGCACATTTGAAAAAATACTTGAATTTTGACTTCTACCCCAGACACTTTTAAGTACAGAGCTCACAGAGATAGTGACACAGTGTCTTACAGATGAATTGTTACACAGAAGGGAAGAGGAAAGGAAAACTGGCACAACTCCAAAGTCCTAACCTAGTTATTAAAAACCTATTACAAGTACTACAGCTACAGGCATTTGGAAACCCCTATTTTTGTGGCAGCTGAGGCTGGATGTGATGGCCTGAGAGCATCACATCCAGAGAAACCAGCCTCAGCACCATGAAAGAAGGTACACCAACAGTACTCCAAATTAGAAAAAAGTAAACTCATGTTGAAAGTTTTCTTTGTGCTTAGCAGAGAAAATTGCTGAGCTCCTATTGACCTCTGGATCCAAGCAATTGTTCTGTGAAAACATAATCACCCACAGATATTATATTGACGAATCCAAGTCTAAAATTCTAAACCAGAAATTATATAGATATAACAATATAATAGTACCAGGTTTCTCAGAATTTACTCAGTCTGTTTGCAGAATGGAGCACATTTCTGGGAACACTCCATATTATTGACATTTTATCCATCTGTTTCAATTTGTAAACAGGATATAAAATACCAAGCTGCCTGATGATCCTTTGTCTCTCAAATACCCCACAAAACCATTTCCTCAAAAACTACAAAATGTTAACCAGCTATTACTCCCAATGACTTCATGCCATGAAAAATGTGCAAATTGCAGATGGAGAAATAAAAAACACTACAGGAAAACTAAACTATTAAAAGCTATTGTACTATAACAATAGCAGCATTTCTCATGAAATATTCCACTTTCTGGCTTTCTAGCCTTAATCTGTTAATGAAAGAAAAATGTTTTGGTTTTGAAAGCTTTTTTTTTGTGGTTCACTGAGCTTCAAGGCAAAATCCACATGGCACATAGAAACCAGGAAGCTTTAAAATTCACTGTGTAAACCCACCAAGAGATTTTTGCAACTGTTAAGGGAGAATTTCAGAAGTGAGGAAGTGACAGAATTAAGACAACCTATGTCAGAGAATCGTAACAAGTAGCAACTCATTCCACAGCTATTTTACTGTGTCTTGCTCTAAATACATTACTATTTGTTCAGTTAATAACCTCAAGTGATCATGTGCTATTTGCTCATATTTACTACCAGAGATGCTGCAGCAGAAACAAAACCTTCAGGAACCAATTACTTGTGTTCCAACAACCACAATCTGTACTGTGTTAAGGCATTTCCAATTAATAAGTACAGCTAAAGTTGATAACAATGCTTTGGCTTCCATAATAAACAGCAGAAATCAACTTACCAGGAGATGTCCATGATTGACTTGTCAAACAGCTCATGTATGACAACTAAAGGTCGCTTCAGACACGTGAGCTTAAGAAAACAAGAAACAACATTCAGAAATGTACAAGTTCTACACAGATAGTACCACATTAACACTCTCCCAGAGCCTCACAATATGCACCAAACAAGATCTGGCCAGGAAACAGCTGCATGCCTGGTGGTGCATCTGAAGCACCAAGTCACCTGTTCCACTGCTGGGACAGAAAACCTCTGGAGAAGAACAGCTGACATTCAATTCTCCTTACTGAAACACAGACTGAATTTCTTAATCAACTTTGCCTTTACACCACAGTCATAAAACACTCTCTGCCACTCCAAAAGCAATTCCACAGATGCAAAAGACAGCTTCTATTCTAAGCTGTACTGAGATAAGGATGCTGCAAACTGCCAGCACAAGAAGACAGAAAATAGATTAGGTTTCCATGTCCTCACTCAGACTACTTGTCTGAGAAGGTGAAACCTATCAAGAGCAAAGGGATTTGACTCACAATTACTCTCAAAGAGAATTCCTCTCTACTTAAGTATCAGCTTAGTAATAAAGAACTGAATATGAAAACTCCAATAACCTGCTCTAAATTAGACATTCTAAGCTCTTTAATGTCAAACCAGTGGACTTAACATCTGTAAGTGTATAGTACAACTGAAATGAAGCAAATGTTGATATAGTCATGGAAGTTTCATGCTCACAGGTTCACAGATGCAGTGTCACTGTCATCTTCAGTAGCTATTTATGCTTTATAGGTCTGCACTCTATATATGTTTATTAAGCTCCTCAGGGCAAAGACAACCTATAACTTTGCATGTCTGTGCTACCTTCTGTAATTTCAACAGGCACTCCAAATGAAATCTTCATAATATAAATAGAAAGTAAAATATACCAAGTGATACTTTGATATGGGTATGTGCTGGTAGCCATTACCAGAAACAGATACAGTTATGCATCCAGAGATTGATGGATAAATATCACACTGGAAGCTATAAATAGCAGATTGCAGTTAGCAATTGGTGGATTCTGGCACAAGTTCTCATCACAAAGCTTTACAAATCAGTTAAATTGATTGCCTGTATTTTCCAGTTGCATTTAAAAATTTAAAAATAGCTACTCTTCTCTTAGCCAGAATAAAAACTTTAGCGTAGATTTTAAAGTAAAACCAAAACTAGACATCAAAAACTTGAAAGAATACTCAAAAAGCTCATTCACTTTCACATCCCTTTCCTTTACAAGGACAGAAGACAAGCAAAAGGATGAAAATAAGGTTGCATTTATTAACTGTAGCAAAATGTTTTATCCACTAACAGCTGCTCATCCTTACCAGGGCACACTCTGCCACTGGCTTCTAACTGCTCTTTCCTTTAGAGGAATGAATTAATACCAATTCACTTCCTTACCACCCAGCTAAACCTGTAACAACAGAGACAAAAAAACCCCTAAACATGAAATGAAATATAAGACCTAATGCTGTACATGTGACCTCTGTGCTAAAGCCCCAAATTATCCAATGACCATGTTAGTTCAAAGGCAGCAAAGAAACCACTTACCCAGACTGAAAGAGATCGATCTTTGCTACCGACAGCACAACAGCAGTAGGGACAACTTGACTTGGTGGAGCTCCCATTCTTTTGTTTCTTTTTGAAGATTTTTGGATTGAATTTCTGAACAAATGAGATGCCCAAATTTTATCATAGCAATTACATTTCAGCAGAAGATCTGCTTTCTAAGCAAATTTTCCACTAAAGAGTGAAAAAACAACATTTCATAGAAATAAAGTCCTGAACCAGACTCTATAAGAGCACTGACACAAGCTGCAGAGGCTTTATTAAGGGGTTTTCTGAATGCCTTCACAGGAAAAGCAAACAATATTAATTTTACTAGGGATCAGAAGCCCACTAGAAACTTAAATCATTTTAATCAAGTCACTGAACAGCCAACAAAGCTGATTTTTGACATTCCTAACATGCTTCTGTATTCCCCTTTGTCTTGCTCATCGACATCCAGTTCTCTTATCACAACAGACACCTGATTGATTCCAACACATAAAGCTGACATTTTTTAATCACCACCATGTATTTTCTTTACTAATCTTGACATCCATCTTCACCTCTTGTTCCATTTAGGCATAAAATTATCAAAAATCAACAGGTTTTAACTTCAGGGATAAATTGCTACCACTCACTCACCACTACTGTAACTGCCTTCCGGTGCCCTACAAAATCCATGTTGGTTTTCCATCCATCCCTCTCAATGATCTGAGCAGTGGGTCCAGAATTATTCATGGCATGAGCAGAAACAAGATAGTGACCATCAGGTGACCAGCTAAGGCGCAACACATGAGTTGTCCCTCCGCACTGACAAAAAAAGAGCATACCAGGGCTTTAAAAGTGTTTGGTAAACAAAGGGTTTGTAATACAAACTATTTAAATTTCAGATTTGGGAATATGATTACAAAGTATCCTGAGAATATAAGAGAATGACCTCACACACAATTCTCAGCATTTGGCCATCTTTACACAGGTGATGTGGTGTAACTTAAGAAATCCTATCGAAAGGTGGGGGAAGGAACTCAGAGAACTTTTCTAAAGGAAAGACAAATGTTACATCTTTTTGGATACTGTTTCCTCAGTATTTATCACAGCCCTAGTTAGTAACACAGCAACCACTGATGATGAGACTTCAGCTTGCCACACCAGCTCCCATAGGAGTTGAAGCAGACAAGGTCTATAGCAAAGAGCAACTGCACTAATCACAATACCCTCAGATCACTGCAGAACACTCCACCCACCAAGCACCAGCTTCTGTCCCCAAGAACTTGATCTCCTCATCAAAGTCATCACCTAACAGCCCTATGATGCCAGACCAAAGATCCTTCCCAAGTACTTACCTCATTTCTGATAGTGGCCAATAGAAATTCATAGGGAAGAATGTCAGACTATTGTGATCAGAGTGCAAACACTTCCCCAGAATAACCACTACATTTGCAGAAGTTTACTTAATTGCTTATATAACCCATGTAAGCTTTTGATATCCACAATAACAAATGGTAATAAGACTCTCTAGTCAATCATATTTTTATGAGAAAGTAATTTTTCCCCCTCTTTTGTAGCTGCTATCTAAGAGCTTTATTTGATTCAGCACTAGTCAATTAATTCAAGTTTGTGCAGAATCCAAGTTATTCTTCCAGTTTTCATTCATTCTAAGGGAATTCACTTTGAACAGTCCCACATTCTGAAGTACCTCATCAAAGGGTTTTGTGATGCTGGTTTCCAGCTGCCAGTCCATGGTCCGCCACACCTTCAAACTTCGATCATCAGCCTGAGAGGCAATGTATTTTCCAACAGGATCCCAGGTCAGCCCTTTCACCAAGCCAGAATGCCCCTTCAAAGTAGCAAGAATTTCTGTGCACACAAAAATTGAGAATAGAGAGTAGTTACCACTATCTCCTTCAGGACAGAGTGTTGAGAAAATTTACAGCATCTTTTTGGAATAGTGTATTTAAGTATAACCTCCTTTAGTGTAGAAACAACATATCAACCACATTAGAAGCCGTTCTTAAGAAAAACTGATATACAAGAAGTGGTAAGGAGAGTTCTGGCCAGAATAAGAGGTGCAAAACTCTTTAGAAGACAGGTCAGAGCAGCAGAGTCCCAGCGCTCCAGAGTAGCACTTTGAAGCTGTGGAAAGCAGCACTTGAACTGGAATTTCAGTTCAACATTCACCCTTTCCTCCACACCCAAAGATTATCACAACTAATCCAGCTTTGTGCAGCAAGTGTGAACCAAGTCAAAGTTGTGACTCAACAGACACACAAGGCTGGCAGACCTGGTAACCTACTTTCAGTCACACTCTTGCTTATCAGCCTGTGGGAGGAGAGTCTGAGAGGGAGCACAATCAGCTTCAAAGTCTAAAAACTCTGGTATCAGTATCAGAAGCCAGGTTAAAATAAATGCCATGTAAATAAACACATGCAATCATGACTTTCATGTAAAATCAGCAGCACAACCTGAATGCAGCTGTTGTCTGCAGTGTGGAATCCCCTGCTCATTGCCATCCAAACCTGGAAGAAGGACAGACTGCCAGACTGCAGGTGTGTCACCCCAGAAAACAGACAACTCAATCCCTCCTAGAGATTTGAAGTCAGTGAAATACACCCAAGGAGGGAAGACTTGGTCACAAAGTTTTACATGCTGGCACATCTTCAGAGCTCTCACCTGGGAATTTGACAGCATTCCAGATGACAACAGTGTTATCAACACTACAGGATGCCAGCCAGGCATCATGTGGAGACCATGCTACATCCATCACATCTGTTTGGGAAAAGGAAGTTTCCATTTAAGAGACTGATGGTAATCAGAAAATCAAAAAGTCTTTTTACAAAGAACTTGTGTTCTCTGTAGCAATATTTTCCTATCACTGAGAAATGATTACCACCTCACTAAAGTGGAAGGTAAGAAAGCAACACTCATTGGGAGTGATTCTCCCCAACCTCCAATGTTCAGTGGGGCTCAAGAAAAAAAAACAACAAAAGGGAAAGAATGCAATGTTTAGTGATGTAGGAAGTACTAATGCCTGCACAAAGAACTTTGTCTTGTTCTGAAGGAAAAAGTAACAGAAGCTATTACAGTGCACTCACTTTGCTCCAACACACGTGGAGTGATCAAAGTGATTGCCATCTTGATTTTAATCACATCTCATGTCAGCAAATGCAAAATGCATTTGAAATTATTCATTTATTAAAATTTTGCATTGCTCCTTAGATGTTTTTCTTCTAAATAAACATTGATATTCTTTGTTTTAAAATAATATGGTCTTTTGCCAATCAGATTACTCACTACTAGTGTGAACATTTAATTAAAGGCACAGTTTAGCTTCCTTTATTCAGATTCACTTTTAAGCTAGAAAATAGCAAAATATAAGTTTCTTAGTTGTTAATTTTTCTCCTACATACCATACTTGCCAGAAGTTATTTGTATGAAAACTGCATTTCATTCAAAATTATTTATTTTTAATTTTTGTTGTTGCTCTTAAAATTATTTACTGCCTTGCCACCAAATATATATTCCAAACATGAAAGTATGATGTTGAAAAGCAATTTTTTTTCCAAATACATGCAAATTATGTTCATTCAAACACCCTGAAACTTACCCCCTGAATGGCTTCTGAGAATCGACACACACCTCCACTGCTCAACATTAGTCAGTTTGCTACTAGAACCAAACACAGTGCTAGGTCCAATGTACCTAATTAAAATAGAAACAGTTATAAGAAGAACCACCACAAGCTCTTCACTTTTTAATAAGAAAATCAGCTGCACAGTACACTTGTATTTTATAGTCAGTTATTTCTACAATACAGAAGGGGGGAAAATGCATTTTTTTAGAGAGAGTAATTCCAGTTATTAAAAAATTAGCTTCAATAAAATGTAGAATTTCTATAGAGAGCATAAAATGGTAACATTTAAGGTGACTCTTCAAATCTCACCAGGAAGTTTCCTTCAAGGACAGAAGAAAATGTCTCAGCTCCTCCAGAGGAGAGAGACTGCCCAGGCAGACACCGTCCAGCCCAGCAGGCCACATCTCCACCACTGTGGTGTCCCAGCTTTCAGCTCCTTCCACAGCAGGTGGAGCACTGAGCTTACCAAAGGGCAGCACAGGGAGGAAGCACTAAGATGTCACAGAGTAACCTCCTTGAAATGAAACACAGAGCTGAAGGAAGAAAGATGCTTACGCAGCTCGTTTCCACACCATAATCAGCTTGTCATCTCCCCCCGAGGCCAAGTAAACTCCATTGTTTGACCATCGCACACAGTTCACACAAGCTGAAAGGGAGAAAAGAAAGTTTGCAAGATGAAATATGTGAATAAGTGGCTCTGGACTGCAGACAGGATTCATATTACAAATAAGCAAAACTTGACAGGAGACATTTAGGATTTAAGTGGGCATTTCTCACTCAAAGCAGTTACTCTGTCTGCCTTAGATAAATGAATTGGTACTTATCTTTCAATAGCAGTTGAGGAATTTCTTACTTAAAAAACTCTATTCCTTATCTAAAAAAGCTTCACCAAAAGAGGCTTGAAGGAAGAAAGATTAATATTCCTCTAATGAAGGAAACTTCTTCTAGTAAATAAAGTGGGATTAAGAGGGCAAAGAAGGAGAGGTGTATTTTGAAGAAAAGAAGGGACAACTTGTCAGGTGACCCTACTAATTCCATGCAATGATCTATAATGTAATAAATGTAATAATTTATAACTATAACCAATATACTTCATATGATGTATCTTTTATACTTACTTCTTCTGTCCTTTCCTTCAAGCTCTACAGTTTCTCAGAATGTGCATTATCAAATACTTTATGGCCACAGCTGATAAAAGCTTACAGGGAGGAGATTTCCAAAGGTATCTATAGTCCTCTGCACATTCCCTCACATTTTAACAGCATTTTCTGCTGAATATCTTGAAAAGTATACAGCCAAAGTATGAGACCACTCTGCTGTGTTTTATTGATTCTTCACCATTGGACAAGCATTATTTTTGCAGCTGCAGACATGTAAGTCTTAAGCTTTGGCAAATTACCAATAGCCAGCAACTAAACCAACCAAGTTTGTTACCTAAGTGATTGTCCATCTGACAAAGCATCTTGGGGATATTTTCATTCTTTTCATCTTCCTCTTTCAGGACAGGAGCCATATTCCAGATCACAACTTTACCAGAATCCTGACCTGTAAGAGACCAAAAAATTCCCCCTTCTAAATCCATCCAAAACAGCTTTTCAAATCAATCTCAGTTCCAGAACAGATGTGAAAGTGTAGGCATTGCTGCAGTGGGGACTTTGGAAGCATCTGAATACAGATGTCACTGATATAATTAGACCAAATCAGAAGTGTTTTATTTCTCTTAAAGCTATTAAAAATAAATTTATATAGCCTCGTACAAAAGTCATACTGCACATAACTGATACCATCTGTAAGGACAATTACTTGTAATGAAATTGTATTTTAAAAGAGAAAATATACATATTCAAATACTAAATTGCAATTATTGTAGCTAACATAAAATTATTCACTATTGTGAACCAAATAATATTTTTGCATATATTTCTTAAGCTATTCTATTTATATAATTGGATTTTTCTGTTGCAATAGCTTACTCTTTAGCAACTGAAAAAGCTCAACTGCACATCCAGTTCCTCTTCAAATTAAAAGGAAATTTGGCCCATATGGCCACGACCCAATCACTGATAGCAGCTACTATCTCAATGGCATCCAAGAGGATGAGGACATCAGAACATGTAACCCTGCCTTCTGCAGGAGCAGCAGCACTTCCCAATACATTTTCATAGCTTACATAATTATCTGTTTCTCAGAGATAAAAGTGATGTCTTTTTAAAAGGGTCAAACCAATTCAAGCACTGTGAAAGCACAAGATTATTATTATTATTATTACCCACAATTCTGTTTTCTACCAGTGTACACAGAATTACCTTGTCCTCCTGTTGCAAACTTGGTCCCATCTGGGTGAATGTCCACTGAAAATATTGGCTTTCCTGGAATTAGAGGACAAACAGCAACATAGTGAATTGTTTTACATTCAAGAGAATGCATTAACACCAGAACTACCATAACTCTTCTGGCTGGCAAGTGACTTTCTTCTTCCAAAGGCTCGAGTTGTAAGAATTACAGCTGACTATAAGAGCTGAGAGCAGCTTGCTGACAGAAATGGCAGCCTATTAAAAGCCTATTTGGAAGTTATCATGCCACAAAAACCAGAGATAACCAGGGACACTTAATCCAGCAGGATATGCCAAATACCTCAAAGCAAAGTAAAACCACAAAGCAAGTGCCAACAAAGCAAAACTGTATTTGAGTATGCAATTTCTTCCAAGTTTCTACAGTTCATTAGCTGATGACCTGAAGCAAGTCTTCTTTTGGTTTCTGTTTTTGTTTTTTTAAAATCCTTCCCAATCTCAGGCTGCATCTGTTGGTCACACAATTACCTGTCTCAAATTTCAATTCCTTAATGAAAGTCTTCTACCCAAAGCCTAGTTTTGATTTTATGGCTTCCATAGAGAAAGAGGAGGACTAACCAAGAATAGTATTACTCTTAAATCCTTCAATTCTCCATATGCTATATCTTTCTGAAGAAAGCTAATAATTTTACTAGAATGTAAACTCTGTAACAACATAGCTGGGGAACAGCTTTGGAAACCAGAAAGCCCTCACTTCCAACATGTTCTGCTCCAAGCACTGGCTCATATTCACTCTCTGTATGTTCACAGTTGTTTTAACCTTTGCAGAGGAAAAGGAAGAGGGGAGCAGCAAGCTTCCTGCCTTTCAGAGATGCTCCAAGAGCCACCACCAAGGATCATTTGAAAGAACACGCATGCGATTTCCACATCCAAAGAATTTCTGGCAGCACTTCCAACCCGCTCAAACTGGAATGCCTCTGCAAGCAAGATCACATATATGCCACTACAAAATAAGGCAATTTATCAAACAGCCAAAAGTACCAGTACCCACACACCAAGATTACTTGATAAATTTCCCATGAGTGTCAATCTTGTGCTGCATCTTCATGAGATCTTAAGACATAAATGATAAAACCTGATCTTATCCAACAGCAAGTTTTATGTGCAACTGTAGCAACTGAAACCTTGACACTGAACTCCTAATAAAATCCAAATACCCACTATTTTTTACTTTTTGAGGGATACACATTTGGCTTCATTTTGACTTTTGTATCCTTTATGTTGGCTTGTTTTAAGGTTTTATTTGGATTTATATTGCAACTCTGACATGTGACTTCCCTTAAAATTTTCACAGGCAGCCAAGCAAAGACCTTAAGCACAGAAAGATGGCACTCAACTTACATTCCTTCCAAGTCCTTCAGACCACATAGCACACATGAGCTGAGACACACATGAGCTGTGGTTTTTCTTCAGCTTGTTGTGCCTGATTCTCGCTTTTATTCTATTAACTCAAATGCAACATTCAGGGCTAAGCTGAATATTTAGAGAAACAAACAAGAAACAAACAATATTTTACCCTTTCCAAAACCTGGGGTTTTCCTTTATATTAAACCAGTGCATCATTTGAAATAGTTGAACCCATTGAAACTTACTGAAAAGGCCACTCGGGAGACCTCAGAGGTGGAAGAGGTGACATTTTCAATTTGCACCGAATCTTGGGCAAGAAGAGCTCATACACTCTGGTATTTGCCATTAGATGTGTAGGGGAGAGTAGGAAGCCAGCTGTCAAAGACCTCTGAATTCTACTAACCTGGCTCATTTTGCCTCTGTATCATTAGCACCAAGAGAAAACTTTCCCAGCAAATCAGAAAGAACAGCAACCTAGCCACCTCCACCACTACTAGTCAGGCATATTCAGATATGCCACACATTCAAAAAAATTGTCATTGCACTCATTGCTCTGCAAAAATGACTGACATTATGTAATTTTCCTTTCCTTTACTACATGTCTAAAACTACCACAGCCTCTCCAATTTCTGCCTTAAGACCACAACTCTACAGGAACAGTAACATCAGCTCTCTCCCTTCTCCTGGGCAAAGATTTTTCTTTTGAAAGAAAAGGGGTTGAAGAAACCCAGCAAATTACTTTGCTTAGAGAGCCAGAGGTAACTTAGCTACAAATTGTCCATAAATGCTTAAAATTAGCCACACCAGGGAAAATGTCCAGCAAGCCCAGTACTCTGTGTCAGAAACCAGCACTAGATAAGTCCCTGAGGATCTGTACAATGGTAAGCACACAATGCTTCTTCCTAAGATAATCTTCCAACTCCAAAGAAACTACAGTTCTGACTTCTTGAATCAGGGGCCCTCAATGGACTTCCCTCTATAAATTCAATCAGCCATTTCTCAGATCCATAATTCAACAACCCCTAAACAAAGAGATCCACTGCTCAGCCATGCACTCTGAGGAACCTCCTACTCTGAGGATCTGTACCCGCTAGTTGTTACTTTAATGCAATTAATTCTTGTACACAAGGGCAGTGAATGAAAATCACTCAACACTGATCCCTTTTCTGTCACTCACAACTGTGTTCATCATGTCCCCAGCCCAGTGACCCCACTGCCAGCCCAAAGAGTCCTGCTCTACTCATCTGTTCTTTGGACAAAGGGTGTCACACTTCTGATCATTCTGGTCACTCCAAGCCACTTTCAGTTTTCCTCTATTTTACGATATTAATGGGAATGGCATTGAAGACCATGTGCTTAAACACAAACTATCCATATATTTACACAGCAGGATAACATTTTATTATTAGGTTTTTTCTAGCATAAATTTGGGGTTCAATCAAATAAGCACTTGAGTTGATTTTCATAAGTGGTTATAATCCTAAAAATACAGACCACAGTGAAAGTTGTCAGGTCACAGGGCATTATTTTATACATGAAGTTTAAAGAGGGTATGGACTTTGCACCCAGGAAAGGCAGCAGTAATAAATGAATCCCTGGACAACAAAGTTTCCTACACAGCTCAACTGTGATCCAGAAAGGGATCTTATTCCACAGGTAACTAATGATACACAATGATCTGCCCAGTACCCAATGTCCAATTACTAATTAAATTTTAAAAAAAGGAAAAAAGCAAAGAACAGATGAAGTGATCACAGGACAGAAAGCACTGCCAGGGTGCCCTTTCCTCCAGGCTACCACTATCAAGAGAATGCCATCTACAGTGCTGGATAACTGCAACAGGTTAAAGCTATAAGACTTGTTCCATACTACTTGTGGTTTACAAATTGAGCACAGGTACTGGGTTTTTCTTCACTTCATTCAATTTCTTAAAATAATGAAAAAGCAGCCATTACTTGATAGCAATCACCTTCTTCCCTGGGTCCATGTCTTTATCAGATTATGTTGTTAGTTCCTGCTGAAACAAGCCAAAAGGCACAAGGGCCCTGCTTCAAAGTGACTGAAGCTTTCCCATGCTCCTAACTGGAGAGGTGCTGAGTTTCCCAACAGCAATGATGCACCAAAACAAAATGTGATATTTAAACAGCAACACTAAAATCTAACACAGTGTGTTTTAAGACATTCTAACCTCTTGCAATAATTTCTAAAAAAGGATAAGCTTAAATTATTGAAGCTCCCAGAATCACATTGCAGGAGAAGGCAAATCAGGTTCATTAAAAACAGAACACCTTATGATATACCAGATGTCCTGTGGGCTTATTTGTTTAAAGAACCCAAATATGCATTATGTACTTAAAGAAATACTGATAACGAAACAAGCTTGGAACAAAAAGACCTAAGTAAGATAATTGAAACCCAAGAAGAAGGTCCCATCTTAAAAAAAAACACCAGTGAAATATAAAAGCAATTTTAAACAGTGTATCATTTTTGGTTGTTGTTTAATTTTATACAATTATCAATTAAATATAAAAACAGTCTTAGGTGAATTTCTACCTCAAAATGAATGAATTTCTATTCAATTTGCTTCCAGCCCATCTAATATATAACATTCAACATGACTCACAAATCAATTCAAATATTTACATTCCACCATTACAGCTTGGAGAGATAAACCCCATGCCTATATTTAAACAACAGCAGGCTCCAGTTTCCACAAGCTGTTATACATGAACAACACCTTGGGGCTTGCAAAGGTTTCTTGGAACAGCAAGGGACTTCTTTCCCACAGGGATCAGTGTTTGCCTGCCTGGGTTGTCTTTAAGCACCTGGGCTCTCAGAACCCTGAGTGCTGAGTATGCACAGGCAGCTGCTGGATGCATGATGCATCTGCACAGAGGTTCTGAATGCAACACTGGGAAAGAGAAGCCAATCCCACACTAGTATCTCACAGTCATCTGCTCTCACCCCCACCACTAGTCTGCACTCCTGAATATTCTTCCTTGCTCTAAGTCAAAGACACATGGAAGAGAAGAACACAACAATAATGAGAATTTCATGGAAAATCTAATAAACCACATTACGTGTGTGAAAAGCTTATAGAAAATGCATCTGAGCAAGAAGTAATTCCAATAAGCACTCAGAAAAAGTGACATTAAGAACTCCAAGGCAAAAACCTGTAGAGCCACAATGTGCTGAAGTGCTTTTACCGTAAGCACACAGCATCTGGGCTGTGCAGCACACAATTCCCAGGTGTGCTGGATTTCCTGGCCACCACAATCACTTCTAGTGTCTATTATCTCCTGGAGAATGTATGCCTGGAAGCATCACTCTAGTCCATTCAGTAAAACAAAACTCCCAAAACCGAGTGGGAAGAGGAAAAGGCTGAAGTGACAGCAGCTGATCTGGTGTGTGGCAGAGGCAGCCCTGCTATCAGAACTCACAAACGAGAACAGTGAGGCAGCCCCGTGTGCCTGTGCAGAAATCAAAGGAATAAGAATTATCACAGTCTCCAGCACACAGAGTGTGAATTCTGGAAGGTTTCAGAGCCAAGAGGAAGGCCCAGGAGAATGATGGAGACTCCTGGCAGGATCCTGCAGGATCTGGAACCCGGGCTCGTTACAAGGGGCTGACTAAGCTCGCCGGTTTTCAGGCTGCACTCCCTGCCCCAAGGACAGCAGTGTGGGACTGTCTCAGTCCTGCACACCTCTGCAGCCCTGAGTGCACCCCACAAATGCAGCTGGTGCCAAAGGTCTGTTTTGGGTGGTGAAATGATGAGGAAGTGCCTTGGCCAAACTCATCCCAAAAGGTGAGTGGCAGAAATGGGAGTAAAATTCAGCACATCAAGGCCCTGTGTAGTGCACTATCCATTATCACATTATCACTCTATAAATGAAGCCATGCTTGGCTGAAGCAATGGTTGGATGTGTTCTAAATTGCTACAGATTTCAAATACATACCCATAGCAAAAGGTGCACCCATTAAAGAAATAAGGAAAGAAGTTACACAGATGAAGATGTAAATGCTGCATTTGTTTAGAGTAACCAAGCAGAAATGTAAAAAACATCTCAAATAAAGCACTTCCACATTTTTTTCAGTTCACTACAGCCTTTGGTTACAAGGTTGAGTCCATCTGCTGCCCGTAGAGTCCCTGGAGAGCAGGCCAAGTAAAAATGCACACAAATGTCAACTCAAGGCTCAAATTGTTATCAACATTTGCAGCATGAACACAAAGAACACAACACATGCAGAAAGGCAGCTGTAAAGTTCTACCTGGGGTTTTTAGCTCAAAGCATGCTTTTCCAGCTTGAATAGTTTGGCCTTAGTTTTACTCTAGGTACCAATCAGCTACATGAGCCCAGCTAATGACATTTACATGTTGACAGAGTATAAAATCTGCAGCTGAAATAAAGCTGTACCCATGAATCTGAGGGCAAAACTCGCATAAACAAAAGTGAGCTCTTTGTGTTAGGCTTCTTGTCACTGCTTCACCAGGAACAGTACAAGTATTAATTTGGAAATTCATCCTAAGCAGTGTAAATATGACATAAACTCTGGTGCTGTCCTGTATTTGCCACACAAGGAAAGTACAGAGCCTGCTGTCAATATCAGCACTTCACTCTGAGCTGTTTTAGCTCACACATCACTTCAACATCACCAGAGAACTGGCAGACAGGACACTACATAAATTCAGGGAGTTGTTTTGAAAGAACTGCCGGAAGAAACTTTTCCCTCCGTGGAGAACGACAGCACAGCTCAGTGTATTCGAGGATTTTTAATAGTGCACTTGTGTCAGCAGTGTGAGAGCCGGGTGGTCAGTGAGTGCACTGAACACCGACCCATCCCGCGCACACCCGACCTGTGCACGGAACTCCTTCTCTCTCCCGCAGGGGCTACACTCCATTCAAACTCCCTCCGCACGTTCACCAGCACGAAGCGGCCCCGGGCCGTGCCCGGCCGGCGGAAGCAGCTCGGCGTTCCCCCGGCAGAGCGCGGCTGTGCCGGGTCCCCTCCAGCCCGCTCCCGGGGCACGGGCTGTCCCCGCGCCGCCCGGGACCGCGCGGGCGCGGACTTGTTGCTGCCGCTGCCCCCGCCGGCGCGGACTTGTTGCTGCCG